TTTTCATGTGACTACTTATAAGCAACCATAAAGGGGTGTCTTCTTTCTCATATCCGAGATATGGTTTTATCAGCTAATTATTAATTCACGAATGTAATTGGTTATTATCCAATCCATTAGGAATTTTTTGACTCATCATAGAGTCTCACCTTTTAATAGATGAAAAATAATAAAAGCAAACTACATAGATCATAATAACTACATCAAGATTAAGAGTATAAGCTCATGTAATGGACTAGAGATATTATTTATTGAAATCCAGAACCTAAATGCATATCTCAATTTGGTCCGTTCAATACATGCAAAATGTACTAACACAAGAAGTTGGAATTTTACCATTCCCATAATTAAGATTGAATTACTTTTAATCTTGTGTTACAATCATCAAGATGTCTGTCCAATTTCATCTTTGATTGTGAACATTTAATTTATGACTTATAAGAACCGACAATTTTAATCTTCTGCGTATGAGTTAAGCAACTCCATACCCCAAAAAATCGTCTACTATATAAAGCAATGGACACACATATAAACACAATGATCTATTCAACAAAAAATTTATTGTAACAATTTACATAAAACGTAAAAGTCTTTATAAAAGGATTAAAATCAATACTATAACTCAACCATATGGTTAATAGTATATCCCAACAACACATCACATATTGAATGTAGTAATCTTACTATATATAATGTATGTATTCATAGAAACCAGTAGCCTAGGTGTCGTATATGTATTAAGAAATACATAAATAACTATATATCTGACTGTAAATACATTTATCATTGTATATTAATTTCATACAATATAAAAATTCATAACTCAGCATGATCGTGATTCCATGATAAGTAGCATTTTCGTACTTCTAGTTTTCACTAGTTATACTAATTTCTTTCATTGTTCTAATTAATTAAAAAAATTGTTAGCTTATTAATTGTTTACCTTTCTAAAACTCTAAACTGACATTTGATTGTTCCTGATCAATACATGAAGTTATATGAATTTGAACAAAACCTCTTAAATATGGTGGTAACTTGTTAAATTATTGCAAAGTGGGATACACAAAGGAGTCGAGACTGATGAAAAAACATGTCATGGAGAAGTCCAATACCTACTTATGGCACAGAAAGCAAAAGTGGCAAAAGAGAGAACAAGCAGATTCGAGTTCAGCAACAGAACGTCTTTTAGGTTATGACTCATAACTTATGAGCTACATCTATTCCAGATAAACCTTTCAAGGTCTTTTAAAGGCAAAAAGATAATCAGAAATACGAAGTGTGACTTTGAGCAGCGTCAAAGTGCAAATTAAACAAGCCTACAGAACTAAGTGGAAATACTCTAGAGAAATGATCAAAAACTTCAATAGAAAAAAGGTCAAATAATCAGTTTGATGGCTTGAACACCAAAGAATTTCAATATTATTTAGTAGGGCCTAGAGGCCCTGACATATTGCGGCCTGAATAAAATTCAGCCCGCTAAACTACAGGGACAAACAGAGCTAGCATATCTATTCCAGGGATACCTGCTACGTAGATTAACCTTCTTACAAGTATCCATTTACCTTGATAATAATATTAGTTTCTTTTTTTCTAAAACAATAATTTTGAACTAGCTTGCTCCCACTTGACTATTCCAGGGATACCTGCTACCTCCCACTTACACAGGCACCGGATAACTTAGCACACCAAGGCATAGGCAGATTGGAAGAGATCACCTAGCTTTTTCCATCTTGGAATTTGACCCTTGGTCTCCAAGGTATCTACCAACTTCATTAACCATTAGGCCACACCCTTTGGTTAAATAACACTATTGGTCAATGTAAATACATACCACACCCTTTGGTTAAATAACACTATCGGTCAATGTAAATACATAAATTGTATCCTTCTTTATACCAATAGAGGTGCTCCAAATCTTCTTTGTGTTGGTCAGCATTTTAATATTAATATTTTTGTATATTAATTTGTTTAAAATTGTGGAGTCAAGGTGTTGTCTTTGCTGTAAGTTGTCGGTTGGTGATAATTCTTTTGTCTTAACCGTTGGACATTTATTTGGAGCATTACACCATTTGGAGTAAGTGCTGATGTAATGACCCTTTTCTTGCAGCATCGGTAGTGGCATCTTGGCCATTACTTCTCCATACTATTTCTCCATTATCTCATTCTTTATTCCTCCATTATACCTTGTAACATATGTAATTCCTAGGTAGGGGCGGAGCCACCTTGTACTAAGGGGGTTCGTCGAACCCCATCGGGTAGAAAATTATATTATTTAATTATATATGGTTGAAATAATTTTTTATGTATATATAGTAGATGTCAAACCCCTTTTGGCTATTTCGTGTGTCTATTTCTACAAATTTTGAACCCCCTTATTGAAAATTCTGGCTCCGCCACTGCTCCTAGGCCATTTTATCTTTCACTATTTACTACCTCATTATCTTCCTATTCATTGCTAGGAAGACTTTATCAACTATAAATAGTGGTGTTTTCATTTGGTTTGGTGCATACAAGAAAATATAGATTGGATAAAAGTTAGTCAAAAGAGAGAGTTCTTATTACACTACTAAAAAATTATCAAAAAACGACGGCCAAAAGCGATGGACTGCGTCGCTTTTTTGGTCAAAATCTAAGAAAAAGTGACGCAGTCACCTCCATCGCTTTTTAACCCGACTCTTTTAAAAAAGTGACGGACTGCGTCACTAAAAAGCGATGGACAACGTCGCCTTTTTACTTTTTTTTTTTTTTTTTTTTTTTAACAAAAGCGATGGACTCCATCGCTTTATTTTAATTTTAATTTTTCTTTATTTCTTAAAGGCGACGCAGTCCATCGCTTTTCTGGAATTTTTTTTTTTTAAAATTCCAGAAAAGCGACGGACTAAACCACGCTATTCGTCGCTTTTCTGGGTTTTAAAAAAAATTGAAACCCAAAAAAGCGATGGACAAAACCACGCTGTCCGTTGCTTTTCTGGGTTTTAAAAAAAATAAAAACCTAGAAAAGCGTTGGACTAAACCACGCTGTCCGTCGCTTTTTTTGCAATATTTTTGACAGCAACTGCTGGTAGTTTTGCTACCCACCTGCAAATGCAATTGGATTCAATTCTACACTATTTAGCCCAATCAAACACAAACAATTATAAACAATCTAAACAAAACATAAAAT